TCCCCAATCTGTTTCCCCTTTACTGAAGGCTGCCAGTTTTTAGGCTGTCCTTATAGGTATCAGTCATTAGCACTGGTTGACTACCTAGGAGCAGGGCTGCCCTTGTTTGGCGGAGAGTGGCTTCCTAAGCCCTGGCCTCAGACTGTCATGAACCCCAGTACCATCTGGGGTAGACTGAAACTCCTACCTTTGACCTGTTACATCAAGGTTGGCACTACCTCTGCCAAACCCTTCCACAATGTGGCCTTTGATTAAGATTCATGGTCACCATGCTTGTCTGTCTTTTGGCTGGGTAAGGTGGAAGAAATTTAATAGCATCTCTTAGTGAGCTTTTCATCTGTCATATTTGAGATGATAATAGCTTTTCCTATTTTATAACACTTCACTCAAACCATAATCCATCTTTGCTTAATAACTCAAGTAATTTACCACATGTTCATCACAATGTTTACAATAACTCATTGAATGAAAGTGTAGACATACACACACATACACTTTGTATTAAGGATTTTGCAGGTGAAGTCTATTCTATTATTCCATTCGACATTTTTTTTTAAAGATTTATTTACTTAGGCATAGAAAACTGGGGTACAGGCCAAAGGTGTGGGGGTGGTGGGGGCTTTACCAGAGACAGTGGGGAGCAGAACAGGTAAATTAACAAAGTACACTGCTGAGTGGAGCATTGGGCGTGACAGGAGAGGTCTGCTGTGCTCTGTGGGCCACCTCCTAGGCCGGGGATCAAACTCATGTTGAAGCTGCAGCTAGGTTCACAGTGCTGTACTTTAACCCATTGCATCACCAGAGAGGGCCCCTGTTGACATTTTTTAAGGACTCTGTTCTTCTGACCCTGTGTTTTGTTCTTTATAGTGGCCTTTGGATTCTCTCTGCTGTTGTCAATATCTGAGCTGATACTGTATAAGCTCATGCACACATAATTGTTGCTCCATTTAGCAACCTTACTTAATATGGTTAGGCACTTTCTATATACATAATTTTTTAAAGATTTATTTATTTATGCATACAGAACTGGGTTACAGGCCAGAGGTGCAGGGGTGGTGAGAGGATTCACCAGACAGATTGGGGAGCAGAACAGGCTGATTGACAGTACACTGCTGAGGGGAGCAGCGGGTGGACCAGGAGAGGTCTGCTGCGCCATGTGGGTCACCTCCGGGGCAGGGATATACATAATTTTTAATGATTAATTTTTAATCATGTGGTAGATGATGTTATCCACATTTTACAGATGAGGGAACTGAGCTTCAGAGAAGTAATATCCGAGCCAGGATTCATTGGCTCTGCCTCAAAGCCTATGTTCTTTTCACCACACCCCCTGTGCCCATATAAAATAGGAACTTCAAAGTTTGAATAATCTCTATTTCTCCTAATATCCCAATTCCTATCCCAATAATCAAGGATCTGGATATAGATTCTATATAAAAAAAATTATGCTCTTCTCTTTTTAGTAAGACATGAGTGGGTGGAGGGAAATTTGTCCAAAGAAGGATCCTTTCATGTGTGCCAAGAAATGTGGGGTTCTGTTGCCTGGTGGCTTACTCTAGTGTCACTTGTTCTCATAGATTTGCAAAAGCATTTATGTCCGTCAGTCTTTGAAAATAACAAGGAGGTCCCCTTGCCATATTTGAAAATATCTAAACAGATAACGGGATGGTCAGTGCAGCAATTCCTCTGCTGGCATCAGGAATGGTATTTGAAGGGCAAAAGGCCACTAACTGCCGGCTCCTACCTTACATGCATGCGGCACAAAGCACGGGAAATGATGAAGCTCTCCACATGAGAGCAGGAGGTCTTCCTGTAGTCTCTGAGTCAGTTGCTCAGCCTTTCTTTTGGATACTGCTGTCCACATGCTACCGCACCTGAGGAGGTAGGTGAAAGGTGTTGGGTAAAAAGAAAGTGGGTCAAACTATGAAAAACTGTTTGGAGATTCCTCAAGCTGCTAAACATGAAGCTTCCAAATGACCCAGCAATCCTACCCCTAGGTATCTACCCAAAGACACAAAACACATTCAAAAAGACACCTGCACCCCCATGTTTATTGCTGCTTTATTTACAATAGGGAAGACATGGGATCAACCCAAATGCCCAAAAGTAGATGACGGGATTAAAAAGATGTGGTACATATACACAGTGGAATATTACTCAGAAATAAAAAAAAATAAACACATGCCTTTTGCAGCAACATGGATGGAGCTGGAAGGGATTGTGCTTCGTGAAATAAGCCAGAAAGAAAAGGAAGAACACCGGATGGTTTCACTCATAGCAGGAGTATAAAGGACCAGGAGAGAAAATAATAATAATAATGAACAGCTATATACCAGAGACATTTTACAGGGGTGGACTGGGGAATGGGATAAAAAATGGTGGAGGGAGGGAAATGCACTGGACTATGATGATGGCACACGGGTGATTTGGTGATGGGAAGCCCATAGGGATTGCAACTGAGATGGAAAAAGGCACAAAATGATGCAAAACCAAACTATTATTAAAAAAAAAAAAGTGTGTCAAGCTGGAGAGCTTGTATGGCTTAGTGAAAGGTATCCTTGAGCTATAACACCCCTCTTCTAAGCACAGGAAGCAAGGAGACTGCCTATATTACCCATGGGGAACATCAGTACGAGGGTCACAGCTGCCATCCTGAATAGGGGGCCCTGTCCAGAACTCACAGGAAGTAACTGGGACGAGGCAGAGACAGTCAGGACCAGCCTGTACCCAGTGACGCATTCGCACATGCCATGAGTAACAGCCCTATCCCCGAGAGGGCACTTTTTTTTTTTCAATTAAATAATGTAATAGTTTATTTTTACATCATTTTGTGCCTTTTTCCATCTCAGTTGTAATCCCTGTGGGCTTCCCATCACCAAATCACCCATGTGAGAGGAGGCACATTTTTACTGCCTCTCTCCGAGTTCTAGCTTAGACAAACATGGTCCCCTAGAGCACAAAAATGACATTTCCAGAGGGGCATGAAGGGGTGGTAATGGCCTGATTCCTTGACTTCTCTCCGTCTGAAATGGCAAGGCAGATGTTCCACCCACTGATGTCTGGTAGCTCCTCTGGAGTCCCTGCCTTCTCCAGTGATGCCCACGCCCTCCTCCCATGTAGCCTCAAGTAATTTCAGTTGCTTCTTTGGCTTAGTGTATTCCAACTTTGTCTTTCCTTTAGCTGTCTTCCTGGGGGTAGCAGCCATTATTCTAATGAACACCCCCCACCCCCAGAGCTGTTACTCCTGAGCTAGTCCATCATTTATCTGGGAGCCCAGCAAGTGTGTCCCAGAATAAGGGCCACCTCACCGACTTGTGGTACAATGCAGGATTAAGTTAGGCGCTGATGGCTTTGTTCTTCCTTTGCTGCGTTACCGCTCCTGTACCTTATGTACACTTGTGCGGGCTCCTGCCTTCTATCCTGTTCTTTCCTCTGCACACCTTTTCCTTCTACCTTTGCTGGTGGCTGTCTTCCCTTCTCCCATTAGACGCTGCTCCTGATGCCTGGATTTAACCGAGGCTCTTGTAAGTCTGCTTTCCCTCTTCTTGCTTAATTCTAGGGCTGGCCACAGCCAAGCCCATTATTCTGGGCCCTGACCTGGTGGGCGGAGTGGTTGCACCACTTTCCCAACCTCGCTCTTGGGACCTGGGCACTCCTAGGCGTTAGAGGCAGGGTGGGGTTAGGGCTGAAACCCATTTGCACAGACACATTCCTAGTTTATGTTCCTTTAATAACATATTCTCTACGACAGTGCTGCCCTCTCCACCCTTCTATACTGTGTTTGTTTGTGTGTGTGTGTGTGTAGTATTGAGATGTAGGCCAGGGGAACAGCAGGGAGACAGGAGAAGTCTGCTGCACCATCCACCCCTCTAGAGCTCACCCATGGGTTCTTAATCAAGGACCTCTTTTTTTTTTTTTTAAAGATTGATTTATTCATATAGAATTGGGGTATAGGCCAGAGATGCGGAGGGTGAGAGGATTCACCAGAGATAGAGAGGGGAGCAAAACAGGCAGATTGATGAAGTAAACTGCTGAGGGGAGCAGCGGGTGGGCCAGGAGAGGTCTGCCACGCCATGTGGTCTCTTCCGGGGCAGGCGGGAATCGAACTCATGCGGAAGTGGCTTTAGCTTCTCAGTGCTGTGCTTTAACCCGCTGCGCCACCAGGGAGGGCCATCAAGGACCTCTTTTTACAGATGGAAACAGACCCTGGACATCTTCAGCCTAGAGGCTTCAAGAGCACTTCTAAGAGCGCAGAACTGTGCTCCAAACTGGCTCTTCACTGCTGCCGGCTGCAGGTGTCCAGAGGAAAGTGGGATGGGCTACTGCGGAGTCACCTGGGCAGCGGTGGGGGTCTGTTGTCCCAATACAGCCTGTCCTCTGGGACCTCAGAAAGCCCCTGTGGGGGGCTGTGGTGTTATGTTTGTGGTGTTATGTTACATTGTAACTCCCCCAAAGCCTCCTGTATTCCAAGGGGGCGCCCTCACTGAGATCAAAGTAATGTGGGCGACCTCTGCTTGGCAATTCGAGTCACCCTTTCAGCCGGCGGGGGGCCTCGGTTTCCCTGCGTCGGGGCCACTACCATCCACCTGTCAGGATAACAAGACAGCGTTGCAGGCTCAGCTGGTAGCGGGAGCTTCCCTTGAAGCCAGCCACGTCAGGGTGGCAAGTTTCAGTTCCCTGGTGGGCAGTGAGCCAGAAAAAGCAGGAGGAGCCCCTTTTAAAGCTCTGGGAGCCTCCCTGGCAGGCTCTGGCCCCGGGGCACAGGACCAGAAAAAAGTGCTGGGCGGTTGGGCTCGGAGGATGGGCAGCAAGTTTGCGCTCAGCCTGAGCCCCAGGGCGGTCAGGTGCAAGGGGGCGGGGGCTCGGGCCTCGGGCTGCGCGGCTGGACCCGCTGGCCGGCGGGGCATTTAAACCCGGCTGGCTGGGGCTGAGGACACGCGCGCGCCCCGCTCCGCGCCATCCTCCGTCCATTCTCCCGCCTCGGGTGCCGGCTGGCCAAGATGAGGTCTTCCTTGGCTCCTGGTGTCTATTTCCTCCGCGCCTTCTCCAGGGACAGCTGGTGAGCAGGACTGGGGGCGGGAGGCGCCGCCCGGGAGCAGCTCCCGAGAGTCCGGCGTGGGAGAGCGGTACCGAGCCGCAGCCGCCCTCGGGAGACCAGACGGCCCCCTCCGGCCCCTGAGCGCTTCGGGGGAGTGCGGGAAGAATCTGAGCTCCATTCCTTAGGTGAATTCAGCCAGGAGACGGGTGACCCTGCAGGAACTCGGACTTACAGGCTAGGAAACTAAGGCGGGGGTCGTGGCGTTGCTGCAAATGAGACACGGAGGTGCTGAGCGTCTCTTGGTCCCTTTCAGCCTCAGGACACAGAGGCCAGGACTGAGGGGTCCTGGCGCTTGTCTTGAGAGGTTGCAGGCCCCGAGGACATCCCCAGGAAGGACGTGCCTCAGCCAGGAGCGGGGCTGCTCTTCAGCCGGGTGCCACTGGGAGCCAGCTGGTCTCCTTTGCCTGACCCCCGGGCCAAGAGAGGCACAGCGTGCAGGGGTGAGCGGCGGGGTGGAGAGGTTTCAGTTCATTCCCTGCAGCACTCTGCTTGGTCTGCACGGGCGTTTTCGAAAATTACATTGTGTTAATGGCTACCATTTACAAATTATGAAATTTAACTTAAGCAACTTTATAGCCTCTCTTTAAAAAAAAGATAATTCTATTTAGGTGATGAGGATTCCCTTTTAGATGGCACAGGTGCTCTTTAACGGGGAGCCTATCCCACACCCCAAGCTTCCTTCCTCTTCACCCTCCTGGGCACCTCCTGGCCATCTTTGATCCTCGTCAGTGCTTTCTGCTTGGTGGCAGTCCTCATAACTTCCAGCCTTCTTCACTCATCTCTCATTGCTTACTTGGGTTTTTTTTAAGTGGAATTGTTAGAAGATATTTTTCAGAAGAAGGGAAAATCGTGACTCTTATAGGGATAGAAAAACGAACACGAGTTGAAGATTTGTTTTACATAAAGTAAAAATTTGTTTCCTCATAGTGAACAAGTCAGGAGATGTTACAGTGGCTTCAAAAGAAAGTCTGGACAGTGGAGAGTAGGAAGTGATTGTTTAATAAGTAGAGTGTTTTCACTTTGGCAAGATGAAAAAGTCTTGGAGCTGGGTGGTGGTTGATGGTTGCACAATAGGAAGGTGCTTAACTTCATTAAACAACACTCCTGAAAAGGTTAAAGTGGTAAATGGTATGTAGATTTTACCATGATTAAAAATAAAGAATCCAAAGATCATTCTCATGTATAAATTGGAATATTGAAGCAAAACTGGTTTTTCTGCAGGTTGCAAGGGAAGACCATTGAAACGCTATAGTTCATAGACTTAGTCTATAGGACTTCTCAGTTGCCTGTTAGTCACTTCAAGGAATTGAATAGCTCAAGGTCAATGAAAGGCTAGAATCAGATAATCTGGTGGGCTATATTCTGGACAAGGCATAATTTTTCAGTGAATCCCAATTTTTTCCCTACAGTCTCCCCTGCTTTGATCCAAAATAGTCTGAAAGTAAGATTATCTTTGATTACAAAGTATGGTTGGTCTCCTTAGATTTGATCTGATTATTTATGTTGGTGCAGCAAGAGTATTAATTTACTAATTTACAAGATAGGCCTTGTTATGTTTTCTGTTGCTGGAGTCTTAGATTGGACATTTAAGAGCCTTTTATTATTTACTGTTCTGAGATTAAGAAGCCAAGCCAAGAAATTGTCTCCACTAGGTAAAAACCTGCTATACTTATAAATTTGGGCAAATTCCTCTCTTCATAGTGTCCCAAAACATACTAAGTTTCCTGGACCTGCCAGGACCTTCTTTATTCTCCTGTAAGGGAACACAGTAAGCCAGTTGTCTTGAAAGAGGTTATTAGTACTGGCGGCATAGAGTCAATCTTATTTCCTTAAAGAGGCTGGTTAGATCTGATTAAATGAGCATCGCTGTCAAAAATACAATATTCCAGGCAAGGCCTTGCTTGGTTGCATAACCAATATATCTAATGATGTCCTAGGGAAAAAAAACTCAACAGAGTCTTATTGAACTTTTGCAAATAACCAGATTTCTATGAAAAGCAAGAAGACTCACTACAAATTTCTGAATTCTGAGAGGTCAAGCTTGGGAGAATAAGATATTTACAAATGATTCATTTTGGTTGGGAGTAAACAGTAAACAGTGGTTGCAGTTTCTAGATAGCTTAGGAAAAAAGAGAAAGGGCTTCCTTAACATCCAGAAAACAGAACACAAAAACAGTATCAACATTGCCTCAAATATAAATGGCAATCATCCTTACCAGTTCGTTTAGCTCTGCAGGATTCTTTCTTATTCCCATGAATTTTGAGCTAGTAATCTCATAGACCCTTCTGCTGCCTAACTGGCTTCTGGAAATCCTGCCTCGCTCCACTGGTATCTGCTTAAAATTGTCCGAGTGATGCCATCACAAGCCTATCTGAGAGTCAGTATGTGCTGCAGTGCTCCTTGGAGACAGTTCTTGGATGAGCAAGGTAAAAACTCTGGCCTATACTGACTGTAGAGTTTGTAGGAAGCACAGAATAATACAAAAACTGCCTGTAGATCATGGAGACCTAAAAAGCTGCTGACCGACTTAATACTGATAAATTTCCAAAGTGAATGCTCTAGTGAGAATTCATGACAAGAATAATAAGGCAGCTGACAAGGAAATCTGGCCATTCCTAAGGTATGCAAGACAAAATCAGACCAAACCAAACAAAATGAAATTTAGACATGTCTAAAAATATCATGAAGCTAATGTCAAAGAAGAAAGTAAATATTGTATCTGGTAATAACAACAACTTTTATAGAGAAAAAGTATTTTGAGATATATAAAAATCTTAAGACTTAATTTGTAGCTTATTCCATGGATTGCTAAGAAAATCAACTAAGTCTGGAATACGTCCTTGACATCTATATTTTAATAAAACTTCATTGGAAAGGCTGATTGTACATTCCCAGTTGAAAACTAGAGGCCTCGAAGATGCTAGTCTCAAATGAAAGAAGTAAGATTGCAACCCAGGTAACATTTAAAATAATAGCTAAGTTCATGACTGGCCATTATATCATGACTGTCAGACAGATGCTAACTATTAGAAGCCGATGGTGAACCAAGAGGGTACAGAGAAATATGTAGGAATGTCTCATGTCATACAATTTCTAAAATATTCACATAAATAACTTATTATGTTCATAAAGTTAATAAGCAATGGCTGAGAGAATTCTTGATTTCACATTTTTTTTTTCATGCAACCTGTTTATAACAACATATTAAGTACACCTGACTATTTCTGGTACCTGTTCTTTCAAAAGATAAAAGAACAAATTTTTCTAATTTTCCAGGAACACTCTGAGATACCTCAAAGGTGGCTTTAGGTACAAAAGATATCTTGAAAGCTTTATTTTGTTTTGCTTTTAAGATTTGATTTGGGGAAGGCAAAAATCAAAAGTGGTTGGGGGTTTGAATGCTTATCTGGAGGGCCTGAGAAACATCTGAAATAAAAAGTGACAACATTACTTTTAAAAATAAAATAAACTAGAAGATAACAATTAAAGAAACTTAGTTTTTGTAAGTTTTGAAATCTTTATTTTAAAAAGTAAAGAAAATTCTTATGGTAAGACACAGCTTTTTTTTTTTTTTTTTGAGAAATTTTTCTGATTTCAGCAGAGAGAAAACCAAATTCTACTTTTGGATTGATATAATGTAAGATACTAAAGGAAGCATCACCTCCTTTTGAGAATAATATGGATAAAATACAAACTGAGCCGACTGTAGCAGAGTTTTAACATACTTGGCTCATAATTTGCACACACCTAATCCAAGGCAAATCAGACTCCTCCATCAACCTACGAATGTATCCATTCAGGTTTTGTCCTTCATTGTCCTGGTTGTTATTCTGGAACAGCCTTATTCTGGAGTCATATTTACCTTAGTAAAAAAACTTCTTGATTCTACTCTTCGCCAAAGTAGCATATTTCAAAGAAATAAGTTACCCCCGCCCTGCACCTCCCTAAGAAGGTAGCCCTCTGTAAACAGACTTATTTATTTATGCATACAAAGCTGGGGTACAGGCCAGAGGTGCAGGGGCTGTGAGAGGATTCACCAGACACAGAGTGGGGAGCAGAACAAGCCAATTGACGAAGTCCACTGCTGAGGGGAGCAGCGGGCGGGTCAGGAGAGGTCTGCCGTGCCATGTGGGTCACCTCCAGGGCGGGGATCGAACTCATGCTGAAATGGCTTTAGCTTCTCAGCGCTGTGCTTTTAACACACCGCACCACCAGGGAGGGCCTGCCCTATTCTTAAAACAGGATTCCCACTGCTCTGTTGGCCAACATTGCCAAGACTTCAGACAGATGTGACTGAAGTCCTCTTGCCACTGTCAGCGAGCTGTAGTTAGTTTGTCTGAGACTCCCTCTCTTCACGGGTAGGTCAGGTGGATTCTTGAGGATCATACTTGATCTTTATGATTGGATGGAGGGTGCTCAGGAAGTGTCCTTTAGATTCTTTCCCACATAATAAATTTAACGTAGTTCCTACTGCAGGCACATTACTATGTGGAGCTCTGAGGCATAGAAAGACAATTGAGAACTGGTCCTCTCAGAACTAGGGATCAGTCTGAGAGGGTGTGCATTTTTAAAATTTTCACTCTTACTGCTTCCACATGTCCCCAAGGAGGGGGTGTAAGCAGAAGTAAAGAATTCAGACATTCCTAGACCTTCCTGGAGCAGCTGTCTGGATGGAAGGTGTTTGTTCTTGAGCTCTGGATTCCTGGCCAGTGGGATGAAGACAACAGTAACGCTGCCTCCTAAGACAATTGTGAATATTAACTGAGTGACAACATATAACGTACTTAGTTCAGTGCCAGGCTCAGTATAAGCACGGAATAGACATTAATTATTGACTATTTTTCTACTTGCTTTCCTGCTACTTTGCACCAGGCATTGTTTCTTTTTCAGCCCCTGCAAGGTGAGGACAGGTTTCCCCACCTAACACGTGGATATCAGCCTGCATCACATAGCTAGTGAA